CGACACGTTGGCTTCTGCTAGTAGTCAAACTGTCGGACAGCAAGAGCGACCCGGTCGCCGGCGATGCAGAGTCGACAAAAATTTCTGACATCACACGATAAGCATATGTGACGGCGAGCTGGGCTCGATAAGATTCTATTGCACAGGACCAAAAAAATATAGTAATAGCCTATTTAAGATTAAGACAGCGCTTATTAGATTTCTCACTTCTTAATTAATCTCATCCCTTGAACTTAGGTCTGACGCTCAGGGGAACACTAGGCTCTATATTTCCGTTCTAGCTCCACTAGGCCCACACCTATAGTCTCCGATAGATAGTAATAAATAGCGAATCCCGGCTGTTATATATGTATTTTTATTTATTAATGCACAACCTCTATCCTTACTGTTTTTACCGCGGTATACCCATAGATAAACGCTTCGTCCGTGAATAGGTAACACTAGCATAGTCGTGTTAGCCTTAGTGTCCGACTTATGACTAGAATCCTCTATTGTGAGTTAACAAGGACGTACTTACGATGCTGAACAAGATAATCAATGCAGCCATACAGAGAAGTCTATCAAGAAGAAAAGAAGAAAAAAGACGCGAGAAGCGCGTCAAGTACCTAGCCCGAGGCGGAAGACCGGGCCGAATGCGCTGGCTGACGCACTGCCTAACACACATCAGCACTCAAGCCAGTGTCAACCTCTCCCACCGCATCAGAATCCCCGAGAGCAGTATCAAGACGGCAGCCACGGCAGATAAGACATAGACCTTGCCGAGGGTCGCTGCGATAGCTTCCGACGCCAGGGCGCGCACCTCGGGGGCGCTGTCGGTGATGATACGCGAGTAGCCGCCAGCAAGGGCCTCGTGGATCTCCGCAGAGGTGTACCGCCTCCCATCGAGGGCGCTTCGCATCGTGTGAAAGCCGACGTTTTGGAACACGGACCCTGCAATCGCCAGCGACAGCGCGGCACCTCCCAGCTGCGCGACGTTGATGAAGCTGAGCACCGAAGCCGCCTTGTCCGCCGGCGCCTTGACCAGAGCAATCGCGTACGCGGCTTGGAACGTCAGACCGCAGCCAAAGCCAGCCAGCACCTCGAAACCGTACATCTCTCGCGTCGGGGTGGTCGCATCGATGCGCGCGAGCAGCACGCCCCCGGCCAAGGCTGTGACACCAGAGGCGGTGTACCACGCGGCGTACACGTCAAAGCGCGGCAAAAGGGCGCCGCAGAGCATCGTGGCGAATATGATGAGACACACGAGCGGCAGGAGCCGGACGGCGACACTAATGGGCTCCAGCCCGGCCGTAAACTAGAAATAGAGCGGGATGTAGTACATGTCGACACTCAGGACGGCGCTGCTGCCGGCCGTCGCGACGAACAAGAGGACAAGCGACCGGCTCCCGAGGCACCACACGGGAAAAATACGATCGTGCTTGGTCGTGAATAAGGCGGTCTATTGCTGGATAATGAAGCCCAGGGTAACGACACCCGTCATGGCCCAGAGAGTGATAACGGCCGCCGAGCCCCACGGCCACGACGGAGAGCCGCTAAACGTACACGACGTGACCAGGAGGGAGAACATGGCGGCGTTGAGTATGGCGCCCAGCCGGTCCAGGGTCCAGAGACGGGGGAGGATGGGCTTGTGACCATATGCGCCGTTGCGTGGGAACCAGAAGATGTAGATGGGTGCCGTGGCGGCGCCGAAGACGAGGTTAATATAGAATGCCCTGTGAGGGGGAGAGAGGAAAGGAAGGGTCAGTCGAGGAAGGCTCGCGTCCACACATGCATCCATGCTTGCTTGCTTGGCTGGGCACAACTTACCAACGCCATGTCGCTGCACTTTGTGCAAACGCGCTGCCAATGACGGGTCCGAGGACGGCGCCTAGACCCCAGAATCTGGTCGCCATTTTGTCAATTCAAACGTGCTTTCTCCCCGTCTTCCAATACGAGCGCAAGAGACGTACGTGCCAATGAGAGCCGTGTAGATGGGCCGACGGGCTGGGGATACAAACAGCGAGATGTAGTTTACGCCACTATCCTCGGTTGTCAGTTTTCCACACGGAACTGCCGCAGAGGCCTCGTGGGGACATGTTGGTTGCTCTACTCTACTCACCCGAGATAGATGCCTGAGCCGCCTACACCTGCGACGACGCGACCGACGGCCATGGCCTGCATGTTGGGGGCTGCACCGCAAACGGCACTCCCGACCTCGAACATCAAGATGCTGGCCAAGTAGAGCCACTTGACCTCGAACTTTGCGTACGCGGAGCCGAGCACAGAGATGGTGGCCAAGGAACCGAGCATGAAACCGGTGCCGATCCAGGGGAGCAGGGGCAGGCCACCGAGAGAGGCCAGCACGGAGCCTTGCACGGCCGCGGAGATGTTCGTGTCCAGCCCATACAGAAAGGCGGTCGAGTACAGACCGACGCACACGCTGAACCACCGCGTATTGCTCATCTGTTCGACCGCTTTGACGGCGGCCACGGGGTTGTCGTCGGCCGCCGCCGAGACATGCGCATCCATGGAAGCGTCAGGCCCGGCCAAGAAGGAGGAATCTCTGGCCGGCAGCTTCTCACCGAGCTGTCGTGGAGCGGCGTCGCTGTCGGCATGGAGATGGGAGCTCATCTTGGCGCACGCAAAGCGAAGCAAGAATGGATAATGGAAGAGGGTTGTTATAAGTGTTAGTTACGTAAAAAAAAAGAAAAAGAGGGAGCTATAGAATCAGGATCTTGAGGAAGCGTCAGGACAAAGGAGCCGAGCAGCTTCGATGCTTTCCTATGTTCCTTGTCAGCCAGCGTCCTCGCCCATACCTCGCCTTCCAGCGATAGAGACGGCTTTTGGGACAAATAGCTATTTGTTGGGACGAAGCGGTACGCTCCGGTATCAAACCGTTGTGGTCGTTGCTTTGACACGACTCCTTTGTTGAAAGGACTGCTGAATAATGTGCCATCTCCTCTCCAGTTGCTCCAGTTCCTTTTTGGAGAGCGACCAACAAGTGCCCCCCAGAGTGGAGCAACACTGACACAGTTGGCAATTGTCGATCTAACATCCCGCCGTAGCACTGGCCACACGCCCCAGTGATGTAAGATACTGACCCGGTCGTGGAACGTTGGGGGGTGAAACGATGCCTGACTGGAGCTGGCTGTATGCAGGGCAGGGGGGCCCGGAAGGGCAACCGCCGCCGAATGTGGTGTGCCGTCCCACACCATGGACTCCAGACTCCGGAGAGGAAGAGAGCAGATGCAGCGGCGGCGGGATTGGGCCAGTTTGGACAAAGAGCCCGGGGCTCCTCTATAATCAATGTCCTTGCTCAAGCCGATCCGAGACAAGCGGGTGGGGGCTCACAACTCACCAAAAGAGTAAGGTAGACACTGATCTTATCGAGACCTGACAGTATCTCATGCACGCTTCATCTTCCTGCTCGAGACATGACATGGCTTCCTACGCGGCCCAGTGGACTCGATTCATCGCCGCCGCCCTCCTGCCCGTCTACTGGATCTGGTCGTACGCCTCATGGTACTATGGCTACCGCAAGGCACGCAAGAGTCACGGATGTCAGCCTCTTCGGCGCGCCCCCCAGCGGGATCCCTTCCTAGGGCTCGATGAGTTTGCCGGCAGCTCAAGGCGGTGCGGCGCAACGGGCTCCTGCACTACATTCAACAGTGGTTCGGGGCGGTTGGTTCCACGTTTGGCGTCGACCTGCTGGGTGACTACTGATCTTCACAGACGAGCCTGACAACATCCACGCCATTCTCGCCACAAAGTTCGCCGACTTTGAGATAGGCAGCCGACGTCGCGACAACGCGGCCGAGCTGCTGGGCAGCGGCATCATTGTGGCCGACGGGCCATCCTGGAAGCACGGACCGGCTTTGATCCGCCCATACTTCGCCAGGAAGCAGCTGACACACTTGGGCATAGTGGAGAGGCACATCCAGACGCTCTTTGGGGCATTCCCAGACAACGACTCGCCTTTTGACATACAAGAACGCATCTTCCGACTGGTACGTCTCCCCGCTCAGTGAGCAGCGCCTAGGATTGGCATTGGATGGCCGCTGGCTAGGCCTGTCGAGGTCCCATGCTAACGACTCCAACAGACCTTTGAAGTAGGCACCGACTTGCTCTTCGGCCACTCCGACGACGGCCGCCTGTTGTCCGATCCCACAGAGTTGGCTCAAGAGTTCGCCTGGGCGTTCGATAGGAGCTTGGAAGGCGTGGCCGCGCGGATGCGCATGGGCAAGGCAGCACGGTTCTACTACGGCCCCGGCTATCTCCCTGCATGCAAGTCCGTCCATGCCTATATTCGGACTCTCCTGGACGAGGCCGAGCGGGTGGACAAGACCCGACAGGTGGACAGCGTAGCGGCCGGAAGGCTGGAGATGGAGCCGAGGGATCGCATAGCCTGGTGCAGGCACTAATCCGAGGGGGCGCTGACCGTGTAGACATCCAGTATCAAGTCTTGAACATATGTATGCCCTCCATGCCTTCCCTTTTCCCGACTAGGCAGATCATGTCCCCAACGCAAACCTCTGGATGGACCAACTGACATGGACTAGTGGTTGCCCTCCGGGACACGAGTGCATGACTGATGAGCGCCGCCGTATTCGAGCTAGCCAGGAGACCCGACATCCAGGCCAAACTTCGCCGCGAGATCGACGAGACGCTGCGTGGGAGGCAGCCAACCTATGAGGATATCAAATCCATGGTGTACCTCGGCCGGATCGTCAGGGAGACGTTGCGCATGTATCCGCCCATCCCCTTCAACGGCAGAGTGGCCGTCTGCGACACGGTGCTGCCTCGCGGTGGTGGGCCCGACGGTAAGGCCCCCATCTACGTCCAGAAGGGCCGGCAGATCGCCTACTCGGTCTTCCCCATGCATCGACGCGCGGACCTCTGGGGCAGCGATGCGGACGAGTTCCAACCCGACCGGTGGGAAACAGCAAGGCCCAGGTTTGCGTACTTACCTTTCAGCGCCGGGCCACGCATTTGCCCGGGTGAGTCAAACAACCCCCAACCATGTGTGGGACCAACATACATGCATACATGTGCTAACCGCCATATGACGCAGGTCAACATTTCGCCACCATCGAGAGCTCCTACTTTTTGACACGGCTGCTCCAAAGGTACGCGTTTCTAGAATCTCGGGATGCGGGTTTGCCGTGGATAGAAAAGTTGACTCTGACGGCATCTATGGCCCAGGGAACGTGGGTAGCACTAGAGTGAGGATAATTAAAAAAAAAAAATAAAAAAAATAAAAAAAATAAAAAAAAAAATTAAAATTTTGTCGTCCTATGATCCTCGCCAAGTATCCGTAAGCCGCACGCTCTAATCGATGCCCTGGAAGCACTCGTCAATTTCCCTCTTGAACCTCCCGCGGATGCCCCTTCTGTCAAGCTTCTGCGTAGCGGTAACCATTCCCTGCACTAACCGTTAGCAACAACGACAGCACAACCAGAACGTCCCGCAAGGGCCGTCGTTACTCACACTAAGAGGCGTCCACTCCTCGCTCGAGACGACAACACCCGCCACTATCTCTATTGCAGAGAGACCGGCACGCCGGCCTATAGCCTGGAGTTCCTTAAGAATCACGCCCCTAACTTTGCTGTCCGTATGCATGTTCTGTTCCTCCACGCCGAGCTCCTGCGCTATGGGTGCGAGTACTCTATCGTTAGGCATAATAACGGCAATAGGACGCCGGTAGCGGGAATCAGCCTCAACCATGATATTGGTCACGACCTGGCTCCCTCGGTAGACCGCCTCCACTTTCTCGAGCGCAACGTACTCGCCACCTTGCATCTTGACGAGGTTCTTGACGCGGTCAATGATCCGGAGATGACCGTTCGCATCGAACTCCCCTATATCGCCGGTCCGGAACCAGCCGTCGGGTGTCAGCGCCCTGCTCGTCTCCTCTGGGTTTTTGAAGTACTCCGTCATGATAGGCATACCCTTAAGCCATACCTCGCCCTGGGGCACCGCCGCGTCGGCCGAGTACCCCAGATCGGGTATCGATACCAGCTTGGCATCACAGGAGCCGGGAATGGGCCCGATGGCGGTGGGAGTATACTCGAGCGGGCACCCGAGGGACCCGGTCGCGCAGGTCTCGGTGAGGCCATAACCCGTCAGCATAGGGGCAAAGACTAGGGAGATAAATTCCTTTGTGTCGTCCGATATGCCGCTGGCGCCGTTCATGGTGAATCGGAGCCGGCCACCGGTGAGCTCGCGGACCTTTCCAAACACAAGGCCGTCAAACAAGGACGCGCCGGGCAACCTGTACCGCGATAGAAGGCCCTTGTAGCGAACGGCACCCCAGAAAAGGGCCTGCAGAACCGGGCTCGACGTTTTCAGTTTGGACAAGACTCCCTTTCTGACAGTCTCCCAGATCTGCGGGATGCCCACCATAACCGTGGGCTGGAGTGCGCGCATGTCCCCCTCGCAGTTCTTGACCAACGTGTCTGACAGGGTCCGCGGGCTTCCGTACCCAATTCTTCCGCCGATGGAGAAGACGAGGTTTTCCATGGCCATTTCGAGAATGTGGGCCAGCGGGAGGTACCCAAGCACGCACTCCTGATCGCTGACACAATCGTCTATGCAGCTGTAGAGACCAGCGACTTGATGTAATGTAAGCAGACACACACCATGCAGGGTTCGAACGTAAGCTTACCTCCAGCGACGAGGGACTGGTGGGTGATGCAAGCGCCCTTGGGAACGCCGCTCGAGCCCGAGGTGTACATAATGCAGTATAAGTCTGGACCTTTGGCAGGAGTCGGCTCTACTGGGTGCTCTTGGCCGAGGACGACAAGGTCATGGTAAGCGACGACCTTGATGTCGGGGTGGCTACTCTTAAACTCATCCATCTCACTGCCAGCGGCAAAGATACAGTCCTGGTTCACAATGACTGTCTTGACGTTCGACGCCTGGAGAGGGCCGCTAGCAAGTGTCGGCAGTAGCTGGGGGTCGATGTATACCACTTCGCACTCGGTCTGGACAAGCGAGTGCTTGACGCCCTCGACGCCGAGGGTCTCGTACGCAGTGGCAATGGAGATGGACTGAGAGGCGCACGCGTGCGATACAGAGATCCAGCTCGCACTGGCATAGAACGAAGTGTAAGTATCTCACTGCAGATAGGAGACACAGGAGGCTTTTAAGAGTAAAGGATCAGCTTACCTGGTGGTGCCGAAGAGAAAAAGCTTCTTGCTGGGCTCCAGACCCAACTGGCGCAGGCCACAGCCGAGCTCGATGATGAGTTTCTTATAGTCCTTGTAGGTGATGAAGGAATACGGTGTGAGTTCCAGGAACTGCCATTCCTT